GACAGGGCGGTGGGGGGTGGGGGAGATGAGTTTACAGAGCCCCAGAATCCCAGGTAGAGTCAGACATGCAAGTGGCAGAAGGAGAGCCCGGCAACTGCAAAGGACTCTGAGTCCTGGTGGGAGAAATGAAGATGACTGAGGAATCAGGAGTCATGAAATAATATGTGGACGGGGGTCCTGGGTTCCAGTGAGGACCTTCTCCTCAGATGCCTCATTCATTTACTCAAAAACACGTATGAGATGGTCTTCACTGAAGTGTAATATACTACACACATTATTCATATATAACACAGAATTTATAATATACAACTTTTCCTAATAAAAATTGGCAAGCTGGGTGCAGTGGCTCCAGGCTGTAATCCCAGCACTTTGGGAGGCTGAGGCGAAAGGATTGCCTGAGCCCGGGGTCTGACACCAGCCTGGGCAACTTGGTGAGACCTCATCTCTACAATAAATAAAAAAATTGGCCCAGCATGGTGGCATGTGCCTGTAGTTCCAGTTACTTGGAAGGCTGAGGCAGAAGGATCACTGGAGCCCAGCAGTTCAAGGCTGCGGTGGCTGTGAGCGTGCCACTGCACTCTAGTCTGGGCGACAGTGAAACTCCAACTCAAAAATAAAATTGGCATAGGGTGGGGGAAGATATGAATTAAGTACCTACACTATGCCAGGAGAGACAAAGAAAAATAAGACAGTCCTAACTCCCAAGGATCTCATAGTCTTATCAACTGACCTCAGCATAAGCATGCTGGAAGCTGCCTCAGGGCCTTTCTAGAGTGAGGTGGGATAAGTGGGTGGAAGAAGGGTAGACAGATGGAAGGATTGATAGGGACTGATCAATGCTTGAGGGTCACTGGGCCACTGGGAACCCCCTTGGGCGGCCTGAATCCGGGCCCCCTGTCCACTGCTCCATCCGTGTCACCCCTCTAGGATGGAAAAGGGTGGTGGCCGGTGCTGGGCATGTCCCACGCACACTAGAAGGAAGATCTGGGCTATAAGCCTCTTTACTGAGGAGAGAGACCTGGTTGCTGAATGACTTGGGTAGGGGTAATGACAGCACCTGAGTGTGTGTGTGCGTGTGTGTGTGCGCGTGCGCGTGCGCGCACACACACGCACACACACACGCAGACTATGAAGGACTGAGTTTACACATCTTCCTGCAACCACCTCTTCAAGCATCTTGTTCCTCCGTGTTGAGAGTTCTACCTTAAGACCTAAATTCCTTTTGCTGCCACTTCAGATCATGACATCTCATTGTTGTGGGGCCAAACATGCCTGGGCAGCCTGTACTTGAGGGGCAAACGGGGACAGTGGGGCGGATGTGTGCTAAAGCAAAACTGAAAAGTAGGCCACCTTAACCTTTGGCACCACTTGCTACCATTCTCCTCCATGTGTTCTACCCCTTTCCCCATCCAAGTTTTTTTCTGCCCTCTGAAGGATTTTCACTGGATTCAAATTACCCTTTGCTCCCAAGTGTTCTGCCCACTCATTCCCTCAAGACAGGGATCCCAGCTAAGCGTTCAAATAGGATCCCTCTGACGCAGGAAGTCCCCCCAGGCGTGACTCTCCAGCTGACTTACCCTTCAGGCATCTGCTGTGCTGAAGCCAAATGGCAGCTCTCTCATCAGGTGGAGTAAAGGCTGGAAGTGGAGGTATTTCTGAAAGTGGGTGGAACTTCCCATGAGGTCTTCACCCACCAAGCCAAACAGTAACGCCCCCCCACCCCACCCCATCATTTATGTCGCCCCCGTGTGCTCTGGGAAGGCCACACACCCTGGAGCAGGAGAAGGGTCAATGTCCCCTGCTTCCAACAATGCTTCCAAGATTTGGTCCCCAGCTCCTTCCTCCTGCTTCCCACCTCAGGTGAACAGAAGGTATCAGGGTGGGAGAGTCCACCTTGGAGATAAAAGTCCATCCCCTCCCCCCATTTTACAGAAAGGAGTAACGTGGGCTAGAAAGGGAGTGTGAATTTCCTCAGAGGCTCCATTCCCCACCCACTCTAATATCTTATGGTGTTCTATCTTCCAGGCGTCACTCCTACCTTTCATCAGGGCTGTTCAGCTGACACATAGTCAGCTTGTGGTCCACTAGGATCATAGTATTGTTGCGTGATACTACCTACTTTTTAAAGTGCTGATGACACACGCTTTTTTTTTTTTTCTTTAACAGCCTTCTTGATCATTCTTCTGCTAATTTTTCCCTTGTCTCCCTTTTGGGCTAGGCCTGTTGAATCTTAGCATGGGCCTACCCAGTGCCAGAGGCTTTCACCTTGAGACAAATTCCTATAAAGATTTATTAAGGAAGATGTACATGGAAGGATAAGACTGAATCCTTACTCTATAGCAATTTTCTGTCTAGACTCTAGTCAAGAGGGACACAGACATGGAGTGGTAAGAGAACCAGGCAGGACAATCGCCAGCTCAGCTGGGGAGGCGTGTCACAGCTCTTGGCTGTGGGCTGCAAGAGGCTGGACTCCCTCACCTGCACTCCAAGCCCTGTGTCTGGCTATACTTACCCTGACCTGCTGTTCTCTGCTCCTCAGGGCCGTGGGCAGCCCCTTGGTCATGGACCCTACCAGCATCTGCAGGAAGGCACGGCGGCTGGCTGGGCGGCAGGCTGAGCTGTGCCAGGCAGAGCCAGAAGTGGTGGCGGAGCTAGCCCGGGGTGCGCGACTTGGGGTGCGAGAGTGCCAGTTCCAGTTCCGATTCCGCCGCTGGAACTGCTCCAGCCACAGCAAGGCCTTTGGGCGCATCCTGCAGCAGGGTCAGTGTCGGGAGGGGTTGGGAGTAGGGCTACTTTCTACCCTGGGGGACTAGAGGAGAGGGGACTCGTTCTGGGGAGGCTGCTGGTGTCTGTGCACTCTGCGCGAACCCTGCCTCCCAGGCGCCTCCCGGTGGCCTGCCCACTGCAGGCCCTAGGCAGCCCTTGGATCCCAAGCACTGACTGTCCCTTCCTTCATCCGCAGACATTCGAGAGACAGCCTTCGTGTTTGCGATCACGGCAGCAGGCGCCAGCCACGCGGTCACGCAGGCCTGTTCCATGGGCGAACTGCTGCAGTGTGGCTGCCAGGCACCCCGCGGGAGGGCCCCGCCTCGGCCCTCTGGCCTGCCGGGCACCCCTGGACCGCCAGGCTCCGCCGGCTCCCTGGAAGGCAGCGCCGCCTGGGAGTGGGGAGGCTGTGGCGACGATGTGGACTTCGGGGACGAAAAGTCGAGGCTGTTTATGGATGCACGGCACAAGCGGGGACGAGGGGACATCCGCGCGTTGGTGCAACTGCACAACAACGAGGCGGGCCGGCTGGTGGGTATGGGCAGGAGAGTACAAGAGTGTGTGTGGAAGTGAGTGGATGGGTGCAGGAGTGTGTTAGTGAAAGTGTGGGCACGAGTGAGCATGCGTTGGTGTAGGAGTGTGTTAACAGGCACAGGTGGGCATTCAGGAAGATTGGTCGGGAGCATGGATGGGCATGTGGGAGGGGAGGTGCCGGCCTAGAAGAGGGGGTCACTTGGGAGCTTGGGAGGGCCTGATGCTGGGTGATAGAGTGGGCAGAGTGGGGAGGGAACACTCAAAGAAGAGAACTGGGGGCCTTTAGGGACCCAAGGTGGGGAGGGTATCGTTCTGGGACAGGATAGGTGAAGCAAGCTTTGGGGTGGGTAGACGTCTGGATCAGGGCAGGGGCAGGGGAGAGAGACAAAGGCTGGAGATGAAAGACGGGAGAGAAGCTGGGGAGAGGTCTGGGGCCTGAGGAGAGGGAAGCCAGGGGAGTGAGGGGGGCCTAGAAAGAGCTAGAACGGGCCTGAGGGGCCATGGGCCTGGAAAGGAGTGGGGACAAGGAGCCGGTCCTGGTGGAGGCAGGAGAGGGTCAGGCGGAGGCCGGGGCAGCTGAGATGTATGGTGGGCTTTGCCGACTGGCTGTCCAGCAGCCCCAGACCAGGTCTCACCTGCTCAGAGTCATGGAAGCCTCCTCCTCCCCTCTGCAAAGGACCCCCCCCCCAGATGGGTCCAGGAGTGAGGTAGGGGAGATGCCATGAAGTGGGAGCAGGACACAGGTCTGTAAGTCGAATTGGCCCCTGGACTCTGAGCTCCCAGAGGTGATTTCCCTGGGTTACCTAACCCACAAATCTCTAGCAGGATTGGGACTCTTAGACCTCAGCTTCAGACACAAATAGCAAACACAGGGGAGGACTCCTGAGTTCCTTCTCAGGAGTGCATTCACGGTGGGTCCTTCTGCACCCTATGCCTCAGTTCTAGGATTCTCTAGGGACCTACGCCACCACCACACATCCTGTGTCCTCTAGGTGTTGGCCTGAGGCATTGGGCAGGGTGGGAGGAAGGGGCCCAAAAGAGGAATGTCCGGACAGGCCCACATACCTGTCGAGAGGGTTGGGGAGGGGTGGCGGAGACAGACGCCCAGGAGGCTGGCTCTGCCTCTCTGCTCAGCCCCGCCTGGGGCCGTGAGGGGCAGGAATGAGGGGGCCGGGTTGGCAGGAGTGCTAGGCCGAAACAGCTGTCACCTCCTCCGGAGAGAATCTCACCCCTGCCGTCCATTCTGCTTTCTCCCCCACCCCTTGGCTTTGACCCTGGAATCTCTGCCCCGCGTTCCGTCCCCCCCCCCCATACTCCCTACTTCTCTTACATCTCCATCTTTCTCATCCCTCCTGCTCCTCCTCTCTGAGCTGGCCTTCCTTTGATCTCTTCCTCCCCTCCTCGCTCTCTCCTTGTTTTTTTTTTTGGTCTGCATTTTCCTCTCTCCCATTCACCCCCAAACGCAATCTTCTTTTCCGGCGGTCCTCTGGGCCCTGCCCCGCTCCGCATGCCCGCCCGTCCCCGCCCCTCTGCTCCCCGCAGGCCGTGCGGAGCCACACGCGCACCGAGTGCAAGTGCCACGGGCTGTCCGGCTCGTGCGCGCTGCGCACCTGCTGGCAGAAGC